TGCCCTGTGCAGCTGAATGACGGCCCTGCCCTTGCTCACATCATGCCGCCGCCGATGTTACGCTGAACATCTCTGCCCCCCCCCCCCCAAAAAAAAGGCCCCAGAGGACCCCAAAGCCCCCCAATTGGCACTCTGCAATGCACCAAAAGACGATCCATGCACAAAAAAGCTGCAGTGCACATCCCGCTCGCTAAACTTATCCCAAGATCCAGGTTCCGTCCGTCGTCGTTGTCGTTAGGTTGTCGTCGTTGCCCGGGCGGATCCCCGGCGGGCTCCTCCCTGCTTTCTCCAGATCCACCCTCCACCTCAGTCAGGGCCCCCCCTGCTCCCCTCCGTATCGCCAGCGTTCCTACCCACACGGCTCGATATCGGTGAGGTCCCATTTTCCCACCACGACACTCCCTTCTGTGCCCCGTCCCTCGGCCTCCATCCTGCTATCCCTCTCCTCCCATCCACTCCATCGTCCCCGACAGCATTCCCAGATCGATAGATGGTGATCCCGATGTGACTCCAGAGTGTCATCCGAGCCCCCAATCCCCGTCCGACTATTTCCAACCGACCTGAACCTTCGGCCTCATCCCGTATCGTATCCCTTGACCCTCACACATCGCCCGCCGCCCTGTATGCCTCCGTCAGCTCCATCGCCACAGCCGCAACCCCTCACAACCCTCACAACCCTCACAGTTCGCCGGCCCGCAACGCTTAGTCTCCTCCCGCACCCGCCCTCTCGCCGCCGAATGTCTCTCCTCCCCAACCAGAGCCGAAACATGCGCCCTCAAAAACAAGAAACTCCCACGCACACACGCTCACACGCTCACAACGCCGCAGCCTGCCAGCCCGCAGGCCGTGCCGAACCTGTCCGACGCCAAACACCACCACCCAAACTCCCCCATTTCCAACCCCAAGGAAAAAGGCCCAAGACATGGCTAAATCGCAAGGATGTTCAGCTTTACGATTCCTGGACTCACCAGAGTTTGGACCAACTCTTAAGTGAACAGGGGACCCCCCTTCCTCCTCCGCGCTCCTCCTTACCCATCCACCATGATCCTCTCCACCCATCCCCCGTCAAATCCGTCAACCAAGGTGTGACTCCCGTCAAAACCTTCAGATGGCAAACAAGTGACAGACGTCTTCCTTCCTCCACTTGGTCCGTCCTTCCTGGCCCCCATCAATCCCCCATGCATCAGTCACGTAACACCTCATGTCTCTCCTGCTCGCAAGAAGTGAGTCAAAAATGACTAAAGTCATTCGAAACATCTTCGTAAAAATCTAAGATTCAACAGCAAAAAACAACGACACAAAAGAAACAATTTCCATGGCTGGCCTGGACTGGGCCAGAATAACTGTCCACTCACTCTCATCCCGCTTCCATCTGCCTTTGCAACGGCGGCGAGACCTTATCCGACTCTCCAATGCCATTGAGACACACAAATAAGGAAAGCCATGTGGTCTCCCGCTCTCCGCCATAACCTTCTTTCTTTCGCCCGTCAAATCCTTCTTCCTCATGTTTCTTTCCCCTTCTGCTGGGAAAGCCAGCCCCCCTCCATCATCGGTGTCGAAATGTGAAGCTCCAAGTGTAGCTATTTTCATCCCACCCAATAGGAAAGCTTACAACTTTCGGCCGGCCCTCGGACAGACGCCGTCGCCACAGCGCCGCCGGCCCAGTCTTGCCAAGTTTCGATCCACACATTCATACGCGACTACTCTTGCGGGCTACCTGCCAGCTTTGCCCCAGAAGAGTCTGGTCTGCTTTGCTGAGTGTGTCTGATGTGGATGTTTGCACCGGCGCGCATGTTTCTTTTTCCAACCGGAAAGCCTGTCCCCCGACGCCGCAAAATCGAGACTTGGTAAACGGCTCTTGAAGCCTTCCGTCTTGACGGTAAGCGCGGCGCCGGCGCGACACCCGCGGGTGTTTCATGTGTGAAAATTGTAGGGTGCAGTTCCTGTTTGTCCCATGCGGGGGAGAGTAGCGGGCAACTTGGCAGCATGTTGTCATTCATTATCGTAAAGAGATGTAGCTAGTCACTCGCAGATCAAGTACGCCGCATAGAGCCATCTCCATTATCGTCTCTGCCGTCTCTGCTGTCTTCTCAATCGCCGTCTCTTTCGTTATCTATGTTATCAGGGTTGGCCCTGCTGCCTCGCAAGTTCACTCGTCACACGTCAGATACTAACTAGTAAGGTAATCTCTTTCGCTTGATAGGGAGTTCTGTGATAATGAAGCTACACGACGTAACGCATCAATGGCTAGAAGATACTGTGAAGGATTCCCTTTTCTTTGCCGCCGCTGCGCTCCCGATGGTCTGTTCGATATGGTAAGTTTCTCGCTCAGTAAGCTGCAGATCTGCCAGGACGTGGCGAAGCTACTGGCACCACATCCTTCGATCAAGTCTTGCGGGGTTTACCATAAACACAAGCTGCTTCTGATTTCGAAAGCAATAGTAGAATCTCAAAAGCCGAGGCATGGTTAGTGGAAGTCCTGCCTGCACGGTTCACCGTACATGGATGTCGTCTTGTCGAGAAAGATGCACCTCAGCATTGAGATTCGAATCCTCCGTGGTTTTCCCCAGGAGAGCCGTACGCGAAGTGCAACAAGAGAGCCCATGTGATGACCAAGTATAATGGAGGAGCCCTTGAAGAATGCCCTCGTTTAGGTACACACTGCAATAGGGCTCGGTAATGCAACTGGGTTGTTTCTGAAGATCGTGAGGTTGGATCCGGCCAGAGTCGTGCTATCATGAAATGTAAGAGCCTAACACTGGGTCTTGCCTAAACTGGGTGAAGGTCCCAAAATTGGCGACTGCGGTCTGAGTTGGTCCAATCAAACGCGGTACGGCCTTGGGGCGGCGCGACGTCCTGATAGCGAGCAATTCTGGCCCTATCTAAGCGCTAATCAGCCCATTCCCAGGTGAATTTCCTGTCACCTTCAATACCTACCAACAACATGTTGCGCCGCTCCCACAGCTGTAATCTGTCTGCGAAGTCGCCGAGTCAAAGATGGTCTTAGAGAACATCTGTTCGTAAATGACGATGCTGCCGTCATCACGGTCATGGTGCAGACTGGCCGAGGTGCCTGACTTGGCCACGGCAGAGCAGCACCTCATTAGCTGCAAAGTCATCTTCCATCTCGTCGAATTCAACAGAGTTATCAAAAGAGCGATTGTCCTTGAAAATTTGAATCGATTTGCAAGATCTTTCTGATGCAAATAGCAGGCTCTGCCGGCACTATCAACAAGACTAGCTGCCGACACTTCTATCACACGTCCCAGCCAAGCTGCTAATGCGGTGCTTGCGCTTCCGACTCCTAACCAACCCATCGTTCACATTCTTGTCATTGCCGGCCCCGCTCCTCCGCTTTTCGCCCTCGGGGCTGGTTCCTGGCACTCTCACGCCTTTATCCCCCTGGTCGACACCTTCGTGCCCTCCCTTCGCGGCACTCATTCGTACGGAGAACTTACTAATAGCTTCGCTGATGCCTACACCACCGCTCCTTACGACGCCCCTTCCTCCGCTCCTACGGCAGCGACTTGCAGAGTATCTGGACAGTATAAAGCTCACAAGGACGATGAGAAACAGGAGCAGTGATGCTCAAGACATCATCACCCTACGATATTGAGTAAAAAATATGTCGTCGACGTGCTCGCAGCTCCTCAATGCACATTCAAGATCATAATAAAAACGACAGACAACAGTATACAGCCTACATGATGTGAGAGCCACAAATGACAACTGCTGCAGAGGGGTTGGATGTCCTATTCCATCGCAACCAATGACAATGACATTGGTCGTCAAGAGAAGCATGTCACCACCGGGGAACTCTCCCGGCAAGCCCGCAAATAATACTGTCCAATGCACATATTAATTACACATCCATGGTCCAAGAGAAAAACCTCATCTCAACAGAAAGATGCCTCCAACCTCGACAAGTGATATCGCTGCGGACGGTCCTCAACCACTCGCGTGCGCGGGAAATGGCATCTCAAGACGCGTCAACTGTATAAAATTATGCAGAAGCCGCATTCAACGTCGCGTTCTCAGCTCTCCCAAATGTTACGTCGTAGGTTGCTTCAAAATGTCTCACACATCCTCAAGGTTCCGAAGTGACGGTGTACCTCCCCAAACCACGTGTGGCGTCGATCACCCATGATAGAAAAAATAGCCAGCGTCGTTGCCTCCTCCACCAGATGGTAGAAAGGTAGGTGAAGTGGCGGCAACAAGGAAGCGGAATTGAAACGGCATTGGGCTTGCTTGCTTGCCTGCGGCACATTTCAGCTTATTCTTCTCACCCACCGACAGCCACGCGACTCGCGATGGAAATTAGAGCCTAGGCAAGTGAGTCCCAGCTGCTGTCTCGCCCGCCGCTGCATGTCTTGGCCCCGACTGGAACACCTTTCCGCTTAACTTGGCCAAAGCCAGCCTAGGGTGGAAGCGTCTTGTTGGGGCCTGTCTTGGCCATGCGTCGTCCTCTGTGCCCGTCATCATCTCACTCTGTACGTCGGCGTGGCCTTGCAGGATCTACCTCCAGTCCTAAGCAGGAGAAAAGAGGCCGGGAAAACTTTCGCCTCGTCTACTACTGCTCCCGTGACCTTAGCCCTCCCGTCCGTCCCCAAAAAGTCACACCACGGGAGCGCGGGATACTATCCCCAGCCCCTGCATAAGTCGCCTCACCAATCTTCACCTACTGCACTGCCTTGCCATGCCATGTCACTGCCGCCTTCCTCTTTTCCTGCTAGTACATACAAAGTTCCGCGTAGTAATACACTAAAGACTGTGCCTTCCCGAGAATCAAGTTCTCCCAAACTCATGCATATCCCCATGGCTAGTCCAAAGATCGAGAGGTGACACATGTCGCCTTCGCAATGCTAGATGGCCCCTTGCCTAGACCTGTAACGCCAGGGGCTCGTATTGCCCCTTCTCTCTGATGCAAAACCCTTGAACAAATCCAGCCCGGTGTAGAGTTTACTCTAGAAATCAAGAATCGTCGCGCGTAGTATGCTCCCTTAGCGTCTGGGAGGCTTTCTCTGGATGAAGGGATCCGCCTTTGCTTTTTTCCTGTGAATAACAGGTCCATTGGGCCCCGGAGGCTGTTCAACGAGTCAGCGATATCCTTAAAGATTGGTGCTTGATTGACTTACCCTAGGAGGCAGGTTGCGGTTAGGCATCATCGGTGAACTCGAAGATGGCGTCTTCGAACTCGACGGTGTCTCCGCCGGCGGTCGTGCAGCCGGTGTGAGGCCGAGGGCTACCATAGCAGACGGGTCCTTCGCCTGTTGAGGCTCCTTCGGGGCGAAGTTCATCGCTTTCGGTCCAGTCGGCGGCGGTCTGCTCAAGGCTCGGTTCTGTTCTGTCGTCACCTATAGTTGCTGAGTTAGACGCTGATATTGCAGGCTGCGTGTTTTCATGTTTGTTTGTGCTGTCACTACATACCCTCTTGGCTCCGCGTTGCGCATCGCCAGCATCTGACGGTCGCTTCTTGGATTCTGGCTTTGGCGCCGATGACTGAATGATTGGGGGCCTGTCCGAGTTTCGAGAGGAAGCAGAAACACGGCTGGGAGGTTGTTGTGGGGGCGGAACTGCCTTTCGCGGATGTGAGGGTGGAACGTCCGTCATGTCGACTTCTCGGCTGGGAATCTGTTGAGCATTCTGATCGGTACCTGAAGCAGAGTTGCCTGGTGATGCTGGTTTTGTCGGCGGAGGCAGAGGCTTCATGGAGCTTGGTTTGCGGAGCATGCCCATGATGTCGCCCTTGGTGTAAAGAGCTCTCTGTCTCGCGTTCTCAATGAGCTTGTTCCAAAACTCACCCTGGACAAGCGCTCTTGAGTCACCCAGAATCCACAGCGACGACTTTGCACGCGTCAGACCGACGTTCATACGCCTGATATCTTGCATGAAACCGATACCTCCCGTAGGGCTCGCTCGAACGCAGGAGAAGATGATGATTTCACACTCTCGGCCCTGGAACGCATCGGTCGTGTTGAATTCGATATCATCAGTGATACCGTCTCCGTATTGCCGTCCGAATTGGTAGCGAAGCTCTTGCAGCTGGGCTTTGTAAGGCGTGATAATGCCGATCTTGCCACGGATATCAGTCTGTCTGCCAAAGTCTGCTCGGAACCGTTCGTAGAGCTGCATGGCAACTCTCAGTTCTGCGTGGTTCACTAGAGAGCGACCCTTGTTGCCCTTCTCCTGCGAACCCTCAACGTCGAAGAATCGGTAAGGGCCAAGAAGGGCACTGGCGTGCCAAGGCTGACGACGAAGATCGGCCATATCGTCTCCGTCGACAAGCTTGCCCTCGTAGAATTCCAGACTGGGGAACCGGCTGATCTCCGGGTGCATTCGGTACTGCCGGTCGAGCATGTGGATGTAGTTGGGGAAGTTGCGCTGCATTCGGACGAACAAACTCTGGTCGTATCCGAAGCGCGCAGCAGACTGCGAGAGCACAGTTGGCGGCAGCTGCTTTGGATCACCGACCAGAATGCACTTGGTGGCGCCATACTTCAAGGGGATCAAGGCGCTCAGTTCGACACACTGCGCGGCTTCATCGATGATAACCGTCTCGAACTCGACGTTCAAGTTCTTGAACATCTCATGACCACTACCGCTCAATGTGGCGCACAGTACTTGTGCTCCGTCCAAGACCTCTTGTTGAACCTGGCGACGCCGGATTTCAGCCTCACGAGTTGCCGTGTTGCCGCTTGCCTTTTCCTCGTCGATCTTCGCACCGATATTGACTTGAACTCGCTTCAGCTGGTCAAAAGACCTCTGAAGGGCTTGAACGACGTTGCGGTCGCCGTTAGCGCGAGCCTCCTCCAGCTTGGGCCGGAGATCCGCGAGCTCATCTCGAACCTTGGCTGCATCCTTGTGCATCTTTTCGCGCTCCTCTCGAGCCTTATTTCCCGTGTTGTCTCCTTCCAGTCGCTGCTTGACAAGCTCATCAAGAGTGACGTCGCGGACAGCAGCGTTGATGGCATCGCTTCGACCCAAACGCAACACATTGATCTTGTGGAATGATCCAGTCATCGTCTTCACGCCCTGCTTCAGACGTAGCACCAGTTCGTCAACGGCCGCGTTACTGGGGGCGCACACCAAAAGCTTCTTGGGCATAGCATTCTGGTTGGCTTGGCCAGCGGGAATCTTCGGTTTTATCGCAGTTCCTTGAGGCTGGATATTGCCTGTGAGCAGCGAGCCAACCATGGCCACGATGGTCTTGGTCTTGCCTGTTCCGGGTGGTCTGTACAGCATTAGCACTTGCCAAAAATATGGGTATTGAACAACTTACCCCTGAATGAGGGTAAATCCATCATTGTCCTTGGCACCGAGGATAGCTTTGGCTTGACCAGGATTAAGCTGGTAGTTTTGCATCACGCGGTCGACAGCTTCGTTGCCGTATTCCAGGACAGGAGATGGTTCGGCCTTCAGGACCTCAACCATGAGATCGTAGTACTGCAAACTCTCGAGCGCAGCATACTCTCTCTCAATTGTCGTCATATTGGTGATTTTGACAGCTTGCAACTCGGACCCATTGTTGAGGGCACCGGCAACGATCAAGGGGTTGTTTTTGCTATTCAAGCGGTAGGTCACTTCCAGCCTATCTTTCTTGTAGCTGGTCTTCCAGATTCTTGCCAGAGCATGAGGTTCAGCGGTATCAGTCAGGGGATTCCTGCCCGTTGACAGAAGGATGATGTCACCTTCGGACAGCATCCTCTCCTTATTTTCGGTGGTGGGGATGCTGGCGGTCACTTCAAGGAATTTGTCGACATTCATGCGAGACGCAATCTTGAGCCCATAACTCTTGGAAGTCGTCTCGTCTTTAGAAGTCACGAAAGATCTCCAGGCTTCGGAGATGAGAAGACCAAGGAAAGTCTGCTTGTACTCCCCGGGATGAGCGTACGAATCTGCCACCCGAGTGCAGGCAATGGATCCTGAGGTTGACGGGGGGTCATTGCCTTCATGGAAGATATCCCACTCCAAGATAGCCTGGTGAAGCTGGTCCATGGGGGGAATCAAACGAGCACGCATATCTTTCGCGGATCGCTGCACCTTTACCTTTTTAACAGGACCGCGAGTCTTCTCGAGTAGTGCTCGCTCGCGGCGCCTCGTGGCCTCGTCCATCGCTTTCTTGCCTTGCTCACCCTTGTTAAGGAGATTGTCGAGGTCCTCGTCCTCAGAGTCGTCATCGTCTTCCTCGTCGCTGTCAACCATAATCTGGCTCTTTTGGGGTGCGTGCTCTTTTCCAACGACACCACCGAGACCCTTCAGACCTGAGCCTTCGCCAACATTGAGGGGACCTCGAAGGGCCTTGGCTTTGGCGATCATCTCAGCGTCTCTCTTTAGCTTTTCTGCCTTGGCCTTCTTTCTCGATTCAATAAGTGCGTTCTTTGATGCCATGGAGACTGCTGGTTCAGGTCTCGACTTCAACGCCGTCAAGGACGGCTTGGACACGGTTGAGGGGACCTTTTGACGAGCCGCCATTCTATCCAAGATTGACCGGTTCTTGTCGACCGAGCTGCTGAGTTCCAGAACATCTTGCTTGTTTGATCGACTGGTGAGAGGTGTTGAGGTTCCGGATTTTGACCACGCATCGAGGGAGCTCTGCTTCTTTGGTTTCTCGGTCTTCGGAGCAGCACCGATTTGAATAATTTCGACCTCGTCGTCCTCTCCCAGAGACTTCAGTAGCTCTGCTCGTTGTTGATCACTCAGATTCGTGCTGATCGGGTACCTACCGTTCGAAGCCTTGATGCACGAGTCTTGGACAAACGCCTTTGGCTCGCCCGGGATTTCGAGATCATTCTCCCGAAGTCGGTTGAGCAGCTTGGCGACCACCTTAACAGTCACCTCAACCAGGTACAAGTCTCTCAAGCGAAGCATTCGGACGATGCCATTCAGATGACGCTGTGGCTCCTTCAGGAGCAGCTGCATCTTGGTCAGGTCTTTTCCTTGGTTTGAGGGGTTTTCACGCAAAGCTGAAGTCAGCAGGCCGTCCTGAGCCAGCAACCCATCCGCCAATTCAATGACGTCTCTGCAGAAGTCCTGCATCACCTGGATTTCAGCCTGGTGCGACCAGCTCCCGGTAGACTGAAATGCCAACTCGATGTATTTCCAGTTGGTACTCCACCACAAGGTGACCGCGTTCGACTCCCCTGAGTCCAGAGTTTTGGATCTAAGAACACCGGAAGACAGATCGCTGAGGCCTTTGAGAACATCCTTGGCGGTGTTGATGACATGGCGTGCAGGTCCCCATGCCAGGTTGCTTGGCTCCATAATCTTGCGCGTAGCGAACACCATGGAAGACAACGTCGTGCTTAGGTGGCGCTCCAGTAATGCCGTCATAGCTTCGGAACGAGATGACGTCTCGGTGATTGTCTTGATGAGTTCAGAGCTCGCGCTACTAATGTCGTTCTCGCCATGGACGGTGAAGGCAATGATGGGTCGGATAGACTGGCCACCAAGACACAGCTTGTCCAGCTCCGGGACCGTAAACTCACAAAGTCGCTGCATGACTCTGCTCAGTACTTCAGCAATTTTGGCGAATCTGGTGTTGAAGTCCTGTCGAGCCTTGTCGAGTTTGTCAGGCTCCTTTCGAGGAGGACGGAATTTCTCAACATTGATGAGAGGCGCCATCGCCATGAGCATGGTCTTCGCCAACGCAGACTGTCCACTGTAGAGGTCATCCAGAAATGCATCCCACAGGTCTGCTGAATTCCGCGTGACAGCCGTCTGGATAGCTGCATGATCGTTCTTACGGAGTTCAAGATGCTCTTCCGCAGTAACCCGAGAATCTAGGGTCAGGGCAGCACTGATGACGCTCAAGGCAGCTTTGGGCACCCCCAAAGTGTGTTGATCCTGGCTTCTTGTATGCGCTCCGTCCCTGATGACGTCCTTATGTTTGATTGCAACGTTGAGAATCGAGTTAATGTAAACGGATGTTGTTCCCGAAATGACATTGACGGACGGGTCCAAAAACGTTCGAAGGACATGTTCAAGAGCGTCCAAGCCGGCTCGGATACAGGCGGCCTTCCCCTGCTCACCGATGCTGGGCTCGTGGATTATCTGCTCGAAGAGAAGATGAAGCAACTGCTCGCAGGCGTCGCCTTTCTGGTTGCGGCTGAGAGACTGGATCCAGGTGTTAATCCACGACGTTGTAATGGACTCGACGTCTTCGGAGTTGTCGTTGGCTTGAATGGCGAAGGTGAGCGACTGGGAGAGGAGCTGCCTGAACAGCCGTGTTGACAAGACCTGCTCGACGACAACGAAGGGTCGTGCGTCGCCGATTGTGTCCCAGAAGGCCTGCCGAGATGTTTGCAGGAGAGCTGTCAACGCCTGAATGACAAGAAGCAAGATGGCTTCCGACTCGCATCGCATATGAACGAATAGCAGGTCGTAGATGCTGGGCTTAACTTCCATCCCACGAATGCCATGCAGCAGAAGTCTTTCGTCGAGAGCCTTGAGAATCCAGTTTATCGCTCTCCAGAATTTTTCGATCGTGGGGAGGTTAGTGGACTGTTCAGGATGTAGCGCGGCGACCTCCTGGATTGCCTGAGCTAGGTTGTCATGGACAGCCCAGTCAAATTGCTCCTGTGTGAGTGACTTTGGCCGGAGTCTCTCCCAAGACTTTTCTGCGAATTGCAATCTTGTCTTGTCCTCATCGAACAGAAATTGGGTCATGGCCGGAAGGAGAACATTTTCTCCAAGCTTCAAGGGTTTCTTGCCAGAAAGGCGGACGAAGACGTATTGGAAAAGTCGGCGCTTGTCTGGCAGACTGACGTACGCCATACAGCATAGGGCTTCGTAGACAGTCAAAAGCACGGCGCCCTGATCCTCCCCAAGGTCCGCTCTCGAAAAGGCGCGGCCGTCAGCCTCAACCTTTTCAATGATCTTTTGTGCCCACTCGAGGCCCTTATCTATGCGGTCGAAGTCAAAGGTGTGGAGACAGTTTTCGATGCCAGAGACAGCGTCCTCGGGCCATTTCCTGCGAGAAAGTTAGCATCAAGCTCGCATCTGGGCAATTTTCCAGCCAAAGCCTACTCAGCAAATACCCGCAGGTACTTCTTGCGATGCATGTGCCAGTTCATGACGCACTTGTCGCAGTTGTGAAGGTTGATGGCCATTCGCTTTCCCCATTCTTCCAACCAGACACCGGCCTTGTCCTTTCCGTAGGCAAGAAGAAGGCTAGTCCAGTAGACGATGTCGAGACGCTTCTTCCAGGCCTCGACTCTCTCCTTCTTCTGCAGGGCAGAGATCTCTTCGCCGGCCGAGTCCACATCATCGTAATCCTCGTAGTCGTCTTCGTCGACTTTGGGGCAGAGCAGATGGACGTCTGGCGGGATTTGACCAAACTTGCGGAAATTTTCTTCGAGGATATCCTCGACAGGTTGTGCTTCCATTTTATCGTAGTGTTTGTGAGCACGAAGGCATGTCGTGATGGGTAGACGGCGATGGCAGATTAAGGGAAAGTGTATCGAGCGCGCAGCGTGCGATAGGTCGGAGATGAACGGCGCCCGCTGCGGTTCGCGCGCATGAACGCGAGGCGAGCTTTCGGTGTTCCACAGCGTCGAGAAGCTATCCAGACCTTGCGAAAAGGTATCGCGGTGAGTGAGGTCGAGTCGTCGTGTCGATGGATCTTCCTCTGCGTTGCTCGGTTTTGGGGTTGCAGGAGGGAAGGTCGAGGGTGGGAAGGTCGCCAGCTAAGAATTAAATAGATCGTCGAGCAAAACAAGGTGGGAAGGAGTACAGGACTGGACAGGTTGATCGTGGAGCAAGGAAGGTAGGAGTCCACGATCGTGGAGGTGGTGGTTGCTGGGTGGCAGAGTAGGCGACGGGTGTTGAAAATGTAGTGGGCTGCAAAAAGTGCAGTGACACGCTCCGGCCCGGCTGGGACGCGGCCTGGCGTTCAGAATCCCATTAAACCGCATCTAACGTGTCGACAGGGGGTGCAATGGCAAATGGGTCCCTTCACAGCTGCCTTAGGTAACTTTGTACCTTCTGCAGGTTACGTCAGGCATTTTCGGTGTGACCGGTCGATGCTTCAGCACATGTGCCACTGAGGCTTGGGCTTCGAAGCACTGACCACATCTTAAATCCCACCTCACCACCAGGCACGAGTTCATCCTTGATCTCCAAGCCTCCCATTCTTCACAACCTCGTCCCTTGGTCCTCTGTCACTAGATGAGATCTCGAGGATGAGCTTTCCTGATGGTTCAACAAAGTCTCTTTAAGACTCTCTGTGTCTTCTATGACAATAACAGCACATTGGGTCAGTAAAGGAAGTATCCCTCTTTCGACCATGCGAGGTGTTCTAGAAAATGCCTAAAATGGAACCCGTCTGGGAATCTGTCTATCTAGCTAATATACACATGTGTGTCGAGGAGAGAAGAAGCAAGCTATAAATGACGTGATCAAAGAGCAATTTCCCCTTTTTGGGCACCAAAGTAGGTCCAAGTCCTGTGAGAGCACCTGTCCGAAAGAATCGCAACCGCTGGAAATAAAAAGAGAAAAAAGAAGAAAAAAAGAGAAATCGCCTCCTTCCAAGATAATCGACCGCTTCGCACGCATGTAACCACCACTGCTCTTAAGACCCTCCAACTCTCTCAGTCGGACTGTGTGGCTCTCTTGATCCGCCGACTTCGTCGCAGTTCGACCTCGCCGTTGTAGCTCGGCCGCTTCTCCTAGATTGCGTTGCCGTCAATTCCATCTTCAGAAGACCGACTTTGGGTTTCGTCTTCAGCGCTATCATCTTCCATGGGTGCCTGCTCCGTGTCCTCATCCACCGTCTCCTCGGAAGGCTCCTCAATATCGGTTTTCTCCTCTTTGAGACTGGCCTTCGTCGATTTTTTGGGCGCCTTAGCCTCGTGCTTCTCGAAACGGTCTAGGAGATGCTCGAGGGGGCAGACGACAGCATTCCACTGAGCCGTACCCTTCGCAGTGCCACTGCGGCAGCGGTAGCACTGCTGCCCATGCACGATGAACAACTGGTGGAGGCCATACTTCAACTCGTCGGGAACTCGGTAGTCGCAATGCTTGAAGGTGTTATCGGCACTTGCCTTTCTGGGAACCCATCCCAACCACAGGCAGAATCGCCAAACGTGCGTGTCGACTGCGAAGCTGGGTTGCTGGAGGCAGAAAAGGAGAAGGCATGAAGTTGTCTTGATGCCAATGCCCTTGTACTGCAGGATCTCTGGCATTGCTTCGGCTGCTGGCATGGTGCGGATGTGGTCCAGTGTCAAAATTCCGTTGTCAATCTTGAGTAGTTGGTGGTCCTTTTGGCCTTGGCTCATTTTGGCAGCTCCTTTCACACTTGCAGCCTCCCCTGATTCCTTTTCTTTGACGAATGCTGCTTTTCTGAGTTGGTTCTCCTCAAACACTTTGTCGAGAATTTCCTTCATCTGCTCACTCTTCACCTTAGAAAGTCCACCAGTAATCATCGCCTTCCGAAGCTTTTGAATCGGGGACAGCCGGACAGCATTCCAGTCGATGCTGCCAGCCCCAAGACCATCCTTGTCGAGCACACCGTACGCCTTGATGATTTCTTTGATGACCCTGTCCGCGTTGGTCATCTTCGTGTTCGCGCTAACCATTGTTCGCATCATTGCGTCCAAGATGTCTGGTACCTCGCCACATCCTGCAACCTCAGTAGATGGTGGCAGGATCTTGCTTGGAGACTTTCTCTCGCCATGCTGTGCAGTGAGTATATCGTGAACAATTTGGCATTGTTCTGCTGTTGGGCCCTGGTGGTTAGGAAAGGGCGTTCGGCCAGGCATCAGACCGTAGGGATTAGGGATTCTCTTCTTATCTTTTCCGCCAGCAGTACTCTTCTCTTTAGCAGTAACCTTGTGGACATCATCGTTCTTCTGGTGGCCACTTCTCTTCAGCTTGTCATCGTCGTTTGGAGTAGACGTGTGTCCCTGGAAATTACTGTTCACCCCCTGAACGATGCTTGTAGCCTGGCTACTGTTCCCATGATGAATAGTTCCCAACCCATGGGGAAGAACATCGATGGCCTTCTTCACTGGCTGAAATGGCTGCTTGGATTCTGCTCCACGTCGTTTCGCCTGTCGGGTCTCAGTAGGCTGGGCAGCTGCTGCGCGCTTTGTTCCAGTCTTCACAGGCTCTGTCTCTGTCACCTGAGGCTGAGAGGCAGCTTTCGCTGCAAGTCTTGCGGCAGCTCGAGTCTGCATTCTGTCTGCTGTACTTGTTGCTAGGGAGACTAGATGTTGTACTGTTAGCAACTGTTGTTCAAGAGGCGAGCCAATCACAAACATACCAGGAGTGCGGGGTGGTGTTTTGTACTTCAGAAGGTGTGGCTGAGATACTTGTGATCTTTGAAAGCTGAATGCCTGTAGTCTGCTCAAAGACAGGCTTGTGTCTCCTTTGGTCCAGACGTGATAGCAGCGAGAGTAAACTGGCTCATGAGACAAGGATGACAGAGAAGGGGGATGGCGCGACTAAAACCGTTGGATGGTACGCTGTTGCTAATCTTCTGGTTGTTTACTTGGGATTCAACCTATATCAAGCAGTGCGAAAGTTGTGATGGGGGTGAAAGCTTGGGGACGAAGTGTGTAAGAAAGGTGGGATGAAGAAAGATGTGCGCGTGGGATAAGCTGTTTGAGGCTGGTTAGCTTGTTGTTCACATCGATGGGAAACCTACCCCTGAAAGACTCTTCGCAGATAGATGACACCACGCGAGGTGAAGAACTTACACTAATACGAGCAGTCGCGACCTTGTATGAATTGATGGCCAGAAGATCTTATGCCTACCTCATAAGATACCCCTGAAAGGGTAAGGTTGATAATGGTCACGTGTGGATAAGTTTTGTGGAGGAAAGGGGATTTGAAAGCCTTTGAATGACTTGAGAATTAAGTCTTAGTGGTTGGCTGGATGTGCATGAAGAAGGTGTGTGTTTGTGCTAATGTGGCGAGTTGTTGGCTGGTTGGCTGCATGTGAAACAGATGGGAGTTGTTGTCGGTGAGGAGGTTTGTTGTGGACGAGAAAGCCTGAGGGAGCGTCTTTTAAACTCCGAACCAAGCAAGAAGGAGGAGGAGGGCATGCGCACAGCTCTATCGCGCCTCCTTTTTTTGTGGATGACCGTTAGCCCGTTAAACCGCTCCTTCTCGTTTTTCAAAAAGCCGACTGGCGCGCTTTCCCCTTTGAGAGATAACTGTGCATTCATCGCGCCTACCTTACCCGTGTGTTGATCGATTTAAGGTCTCCATCACCAATCCACCTATTCCCTCCAGCTCTATCTACCTATCTATTTAGATTGCTTCCACACTTGGACCAGTCGACCTCTGGTTTTAGGCTTCCACCTCCTCTTGTCTCAACCACCTCCACCTACACCTCCACCTACCTTACACCTCCACCTACCTTACACCTCCACCTACCTTACACCTCCACCTACCTTACACCTCCACCTTCACTTCTTCCATCTTTCTTCCACTTCCCACTTCCCACTTCACGACAGCTACTCTTTCTTAGCTTCCGCCTTCGACGGAGAAGCTTTCCTGCTTTCTCTTAGCTGTCTAACTGCCTAGCCAGAGACCCGTGTCTCAAGGAACTTGGTGCCATACTCGGAAAGACTCGCCAGACCATCTCTTCTTGAGCTCGACCCCGACTTCGCCTCCATAAAGTGTCAACTTTACACAGGGTGAGTAGCTTCTTCCCCACGCAGGCACATAACACTGACTCGGAAGATAGCAGTCACCATGAATGGCCGACGTGCTGGAGAGAGCCCGGACAATGCCATAGACGTGGACGAAAATGACCTAGTGTTCGAGGTTGACCGCGAGGTTGTTGAAATTGCGCGGCGGGTCAGGAACTACCAGCCTCGGAAGAATCGATCCTTGGCTTCACAGGCAACCGACGGCGTCGACGAAGAGAAAGACGAAAATCTGGCGAGCGAGGCCCTGGCCGGCCTGATCGACTTGACCATCGATGACGAGCCCATTGTCGTTCGTCGGTCCCGAAAGCGCCGTCCCAGACCTCAGCGAGAGATACCTCACCGCCAGCACGAGAGATTCCAGTACAAGAAGCTCATGATCAAAGTCAATACGCTCTATGAGCTTGATCCAGAGCAGACACCTCCAACAGCCGTCGGAGTTCACTTCATCAAAGTCACCACTATTCTTGAGAATTTGGAGTCTGGCAAGATCAAGATCTGCGGGCTGCCTTTTTGCCGTTCCCGAACCCTCATGGCCAAGCTGCCTCGAAAGCTCAATGAGATCTTTTGTTTGCTGGAAATTGATGCAGACGATGACAGGCCAGCCGAAATCCAGGCGAGAATCGAGGTTCCAGCCGCAACACTTATCCGCCCTCGAGCGCTGCATCTTACCAACGCCCCTTACCCTAAGCACCGGTATGCCGCGCATGCTTTCTGCAGTCATGAGGCTG